TGAAAATATAGCCAGACTCCACGTAGTATTAATCACAAAAATATCCAATTTCTTCTAAGAACAACAAGACAACGCGAATATACGAACGAAATACAAAACGCCCTTCCCACAGAAAACGTTCAACCCAGAAAAAAAATGAACCCCGCCAAGGTTAGGGACCTCCACTAACTAAAATGGATTCGTCAATGAGAGAAGTTCATAGCAGCTCAAGGCCACAGGGACAGAGGAAACCGAGCCTGTCGCATTCCCCTCCATGTTCTACTTCCGCAACGCGACCGAATGAAGGTTAAAAGCTTTCCCGACAATAATGAAAAAAATCGTGTTTGGAGATAAGCGTGGTCTGTCCTTCCTGCCTGTCCCTCTGACCTCAATATGGGGCTTAACCCTTTGCTTACACCCCCCCCCCCCTCGAGACAAAGGCAGATGTCTACACAAAGGAACGTACCCCTAACCCACGCGGTTGGCTGGAAGTGGACTCCCCCGTTCCGAAAATGGACTCGCCGATTCAAGCGCTTTCCCCAGAGCACGTCACGTGACATACCTTACTAGTAGTGGTGACGATAATAATAACAGCTGCTGTAATTATGATAATGATAACCATTATAAGGACGATACGGACGACTGAATTTTGGCGATGAAAAAATAAGAATAATGGATGTAATGATAAAGAAAATTATGATTATGGTAATGGTAATCATAACGAGAATGTCAATAATAGTAATTATAACAGCAACAATAACGATAATTACATTTATAAAAGATAACAGCATCTGTGATAACATGCTACTACTATTACTACAAGTAAAGATACTAATAATCAGTATCGTCATTAGGACAAAATACTAATGTAGGTAAGGATAATGATAATGCTCATTATCATCATGATTATAATCATCATCATCATCATCATCATTATCATCATTAGCATCATTAGTATCATCATCCTCATAATCATTAGCATCACCATATTATCCTTATCATATTCATTAACATCACCATATTATCATCATCATCATAATCATTAGTATCACCAACATTATCATTATCATTAGTATCATCATTATCATAATCATTAGCATCAATGCATCATAGTATCATCATATCATCCATCAATCATTAGCATCATCATATCATCATATCATCATTATCATCATCATCATATCATATCATCAATATCATCATCATCATCATCATCATTATCATAATCATTAGTATCATTCATATCATTATATCATTCATTTATCATCATATCATTAGTATCATCAATCATAATCATTGTATCATCATCATTAATCATTAGTATCATCTTATCAATTCATTAGTACCATTGTTAGTGTCACCAATATAATCATTAGCCATCATATTATATCATTAGCATCATATCATAATCATTATATTATCATCATCATCAATTAGTATGACTGTCATTGTCATTATCATTAATATCATCTTCATAAACAATAGCATCATCCTCATAATCATTATTATCACGATAATCACTAGTGTCATTGTCACAATCATTAGTATCATCCTATTATTAGTATCACCACAATATTCATTAGTAATATTACCATATTTGTTATTGTCATCATAATCATCTATGATTACTGTTATCATTACCATAAACATTTAAAGAGCAAAAAATAATGGTATTACTAATACTCTCAGTACTCCTATTGATAGCGGTAACAAAAATATTTCCATATCAGTGATATTTTCAACTTGTTTTATTTGTGTGTTTTTCATTTTTGACTATTGGGTTTTCTTGTCACTTTGGTTTTCATGTCCATTCACCAACAAAAATCTTATTTCAGGTTTCCTGATCACGGGGAATATCACAATAATTAAGACATAAGAGGAATTTGTTTGTTACTTATATATAAGCATTTTCAAGCATATATATAGACTTTTGCATGGAGGAAGTATATATGCTGGTGTGTTGTGTGGTTTGGTAAGGAGCTAGAATCGCAGCATATTTTAAATTTTCTAAATCTTGTCCAAAAAATATGTATCATAAACACAATTAGAAATGCTGAGTCTAATCTTTATATATTGATATCTACGTCCCTATGAAAAATGTGGAACTGAAGTCAATCATCTTGCACTAACTTTAAATATCTGGCCTTACTCATGTTTCTACTGCCTGTTGCATTCACCCGAGAAACTAAAGGAGTTTATTTTTTATTTATTTATTTATTTTGAGTCACTCATTTCTAACAAACTTTTTATTTATGGATTAGAAAAATTTTATCTCTTGTATCAACAATTCAGATTTTCATTACCATTACAACAAACTTTTTTTTCATAAATGATTATGGAGGAATTATGTAGGAAAATGGCAAGATACTGCTAGGGCACACATTCCTTTTCTCCATCTTATTATTTTCTGGAATATTTGGTAAAAAAAGCAGTGTTTGGTAAAAGTACTTCACCCATTGATAATCTATCAAAACTCAGGTTATCCTGTAAAAATTATGCTGTGAAGGGCTAATAAACATGATTCGAATTTTGTAGTCTTTATTTTTCTTAAAATTAGTAAATGATATACATAAACACTTGTACTTCATTGCAAAATCAAACTCTGCTACTTTTAATGCTAAGGTAGCAAAAGTATGCTCATATGATGAATGCTACATATGGGTTATTCACAAACTTAAAAATATTCTGACTACAGTCACACTTTACATGACTGCAAAGTTTCCAAACATTTATAGTTCCTAACTAAAAAAACAAGTAGTAATAATAATAATAATAAATAATAATAATAATAATAATAATAATAAATGAAAAAAAAACTGCATAATGCAGTCATTAATGAGATGCAAGCTTTGGTTATAACTGTTTTCAGATTGAAACAAAACGTGTGTATCACTAATACTACTACAAAATAAAAGGATCATTCAAAATATCAATCTCAACATGAAATACACCAGGAATCATTTACAGTAACATTTCTTATACCATTCACACTACACCAGCGCCTCATCTGGACCCTACAAGTACTCCTGCAAAGAGAACATAAATTTAGTAGCAGAAAGCAGTTTGGGTATGTGCACGTCATATCAATCACTTAAAACAAAGCCTTAGTTCCAACTCCACTTTTTCACACAGACAGTTGATAAACAACTTTACACAAGAAGTAATTCAATGTCTTTTGCTCACCTTCTCTCTCCCATTTTAACGACCTTCAATGTATGAGCTGAGCTCAATCTCGTCAGGTAGCTCTGTGATGTTTACATCGAATCTCTCCTGAACCTCATTCAAAATCTTTGCGTCACTCTCTTCACTCACAAATGTGACAGCTAAACCCTGTAAATTAAAGAAGGATTAGATCTTCATCTCAAGACATAGGGAAACATTGGGGGAAGAGGAAAAAAAAAAAAAAAAAAAAATTATACATCACATCTTGTTGATGTAACATCTTGATTTTTTATAAGGGAATAAATAATCGTGTTATCTGGCAAGAAATCAGCTTGATGTACAGATTCAAAGGCAAGAAGATAGAACTCACCTTGGTTCCGAATCGACCAGCTCTTGCTACTCTATGAAGGTATGTGTCACTGTCTTCAGGCATATCATAGTTGAATACGATGTTCACTCGCTCAATATCCATTCCTCTACCAAACAAGTTTGTTGCCACCAGAATACGCTAGAAGAAGAGAAAATACTTTGAACCAACAAACATATTAAGACATTACCTACATATATATAACAATTACATGATTAACTTGTTCCCTCAAGAAACCATGCACATCCTACACACCTTCTGGAAGTCCTTGAACTGCTGGTAACGGCTGAGTCTCTCCTCCTGCTGCATGGCACGGTGGATAGCAATGGCTGGGAAGTTCTGTTCAACCAACAGCTGTGCCAAGGCCATGCATCTCTGGACAGACTTAACAAATATGACAACCTGAAAAATAGCATGGAGATTAGTGGAAAATTAAATGCTATGATTACCAGGTACCTCAAGTGTTTCCGTCTGACTCATGAGAAAAAAATGACAATCAAATTTGGGTACTTTTTTTCTATTATTTTTATTTCTTTGGTTTGTAAATGCTCTGAACTTCATTCACTAAAGAGAGATGGTGGGAGGGAAATATCTAACAAAGGAAATTGTATCAAATTTGTTCCAAATATTTTCCAGGATAAAAGACCCCTTTCAACCATACTTACTTCTCTTTTGTAATTCATTACCCTAACCAACAAGTCGCTGTCAAACTATAAAATGGACTGACAACCATCAACTATGCATACCCAAACCTATGGGGTACTATGGCAGGATCTCACTAATACTGAAAAAACTTTCAACCCATTGGTGCCTGGTATATGCATTGTCCGCTGTAATTGCTTTGTAAAATTTCTTTATACATAGATGATTCCTGATGCATTTAATCACCATGAAACCCATTAATAGGTCCATCTGACTTTTTCACAATCTCCTTAATATGATTGGTGTAGTTATTATATCAATATTACCATACTACTTTCCAATCACACAAAATGTATAATAGTATTTTTTTTTTTTTTTTCCACCAGAGAATAGGGTAAGAATAGTTATTGGCTCTTTGGTAACAAAGAACTAGTGAAATTAATGGTGTATAACAAAATCAATACAACAAAATAGTTCTCTAAAAGAAATGATGCACACTAAATGTCACTTTGGTTCCTTTATACCCAGTACATAATCCATTTATTAACCCATTGGCGCCGGGTGTCACGTACGTACATGCCATGGCTGTTGTGGACCAAACGCCGGGGGCATCATGCCATGCCCATTCCCGAGCTACTGGCTCGTCAGACGGAGGTTGTTTTTCTCGAGTAGTAGCGGCTTCATTTATATGGTAAAGATTTTAGGCAATGGCACCTAAAGTAAAGGTAAACCTTCAAAATTTTAATATTTTTAATTTTTTTTTTTTAGCAAAATAAAAGCTTTTAGGTGCTATATGTAGCTCGCAAACTACCGATCGAGCCGGGCGCAAACAGGGGAAACTGCCGGTGCGGGCCAACAAGCCGGTGCATACGAAAACTTGACAAAATTTTTACCCGTCGCTGATGGGTTAATAATACTCCCCATGAAAATGAACACTATAGCTTACCGCAAAATACTGAACAAACATGCACTATTTCTTCACTTTCCATAATTGGAATATAAGCTAAAACATCTAACATACATCAGTCCAGACACCCATACCTCTCCACACCTCTTACAAGTGACTGCCTAAACTGTAAACAAAATTGCATTTGAGGATTTACCTGGTTGAACTCTAAAGCATCAAGTAATTCAAACAATTTGCGATTCTTCTCGTTTTCCTTGATTTTAACGTAGTGCTGCTGCAGACCATGAAGAGTCAACTTGGCTTCATCATCAACATATACTTCCATGGGCTGTAAAGACAAGTTAACAAAATGATGCATACTAGGGGGAGGGAGAGGGGGGGGGGATTCCACAAAAAGGAATGGGAGGAAGGAGGAAACAGAGGTTGTTAACGAAAGGGGGAGGTATCATTACTAATAAGTTTAAAACAGGAGCAGGTTAGGGAAGAATAAAAAAAAACAAAATCTTGAGAGGAGTGCCACATTCCCTCTTCCAACGTAGGTTCTCAGGGCAAGTAGATCTGTCAAATACAAGTGATGAAAAAAAGCTACTTTACAACAACTCATCTATTGAATTAGTAAAAATAAATAAAGGATGGGGAAGAATTGGGAGTATGGGAAGGAAAGAGGTAAGCCATTTCTGTAAAGCTGCACAGTCAAATCTTCTTTGGCTAAAATGAAATTGCAACTGAGACCTAAAATTGATTTCTAGATGTGAATTTTAGTCTTGACATATCTTTAAATCTTTGATATACATCTAATTAAGAAAGTATGGTAAAAGTTAAAAGCAAATATGCCTCTGACTAACTTAATTGTACTTATCAAATTATGCAGACAATGCAATGACTAAACCATATACATCAGAGGCACATGTGCTTCCTGACAAACTACCTGCCATATTCTCAAAGGAAAAACCTAGAATGCATCCCCTCTTGCACTCACAAACCCTTCCCAGACCCCAAACCTTGGATGCCTGCCATGAGGAACGGACAAGGAGTGGCCCGGGCGTTAAAGCTGCAAGTCACCAACTACGGCCCTCCAGCAACACCTCTTCGGAACGCACACAAGGTGTCCTTCGCGGGTTCTTCATCAGCCTGCGTCACATTACCTCCTCTCCTCCACTCCCAAGCACTTCCTGTAGGAGCGCCGTCTTCCTCTATGTGGTTTCTTGAAGGCCAGCTTCTCTGATCCTCCACATGGGGTGAGGTGATCTTTTTCTTTCACTTTTTTTTCATGATGAAAATATTGGACGTTTGATAGATGGGTTTGTGTTTTGTGTTGGTGGTAGGATTGTACAGGATATTAGGATAAAGGGTACAGGTTGGCTTTGGGTTATCAAGGATATGCACCACTTGCCACGGTGCGGGAATAAGGACAAGTCTTGTTGAATCTTTTTCCCCACCCATTATTTTTTTTCTTTTTCTTTTTTTTTTTTTTTTAATGAAAACAATGGGTGTCCGTCCCTTCTTCGCAGAATGTTTGCGCAGACATGGGAGGGGGAACGAACGAAGAAAAGTGCACAAGGATTGGAGAGCAGACTGGGTGGGGAGGTAGGAAGAGCCCAGTCCAAGACAGGAGTGTGATGTGGAATTTGCACCTCTGGAAGGACAAGTGCAAGAAGGATGTAGGTCTGGGTTTGGGAAACTGATGGCAGATAAGGAGGACGCCAACAGGCTGGGCCGGGATGCCCAAGCCTTCAGGATGACTGCAGGATATAGGACTGTTGTTGTCACATGAATGCTGGAGAGGTGATTGATCTTAACAGCAGATACTGGGCAAAATGACAGATGGTAATGACTGAGAATCAGAGGGGGAGGAGCTGGTGATGAAGTGGGGGGGCAGATGGCAATGGCAATGAAAGAGTGGATGGCTGATGGAATGATCTAAGAGGTGTGACTTTTGGCCAGGAACGATCTTTCTCTTTCCTGTCGTCTTCAGGGAACTGGCAGTGGCAGCAAGGCACGCTGGGTATGCTCCCAGGAAGGTGTACCACCCATCCATGCGGGATGGTTGGTATCGAGACACAACACAAAGCTGGTCGTGTTGATATACCGTAGTAGAAACAAGACAAAGGTTGCAGTAATTACATCTTGCATAAACTTCTTGCACACGGGGCGGATCTCCTTGCTCAAGGTGGCGCTGAACATCATCACTTGCTTTTCATGTGGAGTATTACGGAAGATTTCTTGCACATCTCGTCGCATATCTAAAACAAAAGACAGACAATGATTAGGGGCTGATCTATCTCTTAATACAAATCTCTTTTACAAAATTTTCAACTAAAATTATTAATCACAGACTGGGTGCACAAAGATATAACAAGAGATTGATAGGCACTAACTTAGTATTAACAAGATTGTACCAGTGAATCTTGTAATATGAGCTTTAACATACCAAGCTGTTCCAGCATCTTGTCACATTCATCCAACACAAAGTGTTTCAAATGGCGGAGATTGAGCTTCTTGTTGCGCACCAGAGCAAGAACACGGCCAGGAGTACCGACAACAATGTGGGGGCAGTTGTTCTTGAGGGTCTCTTCGTCCTTCTGAACATTCAGGCCTCCGAAGAACACCCCCACCTTGGCGTTGGGCATGTACTTGCTGAATCTCTCATACTCCTTGGCTATCTGGTAAGCCAACTCTCGTGTATGACACATTACCAGCACTGACACCTGAAAAAAATTAATGCTTGTCAATCTATGCTAACTAATATTCAAACCTATCGGTCTTATATTTGAAAAAGAGTAACAAGTATTCCATAATGAATATCCCATTTATGTAAGCATGTCTATGCATCCTCTTATTTCCGTCTAACACACCAACCTACAAATAAAAAATCAAGTTCTCTTACCTGACCATCTACAGGGTCAATCTGCTGAAGTGTTGCCAACACAAACACTGCAGTCTTTCCCATACCCGATTTAGCTTGGCCCAAGATGTCCATGCCCAACACAGCTTGAGGGATGCACTCATGCTGCACTGAATATCAAAACAAGTTATCAGTTAGTAAAAGGTCAAAGGATAATTGCATGATGATTATTTAATATGCATGTATGCAAGTATGAGCACAGTACTGATGACCTTACCTTCTGAAGGATGCTCAAAGCCACAGTCTACAATGGATCTTAGGATCTCTGGCTTCAGCAAGAAATCCCTGAAGCCTGAGGAATGGATGGACACATAGGTACCCTTCACATCCTTTTTGGCTGGGGCAGCCTCGGTTGTCTCTCCTACTCCTGCCTCCACCGCATCCTCATCCTCCTCGTAGTCGAGAAGTTCAGGCTCCTGGTCGGCCATTCTGGTGAGAAGAGGGGAATTTATGGTCTTTATCATATAAATACATAAATATTTTTTACTTTGGAAAATAATCTATAATTGGTAATAACTTGCGACACGCATAGATATAGAGAAATGGACACTGCCATCTTATAGAGAGGAAGAAATAGAGTAGAATACAACATAGTTTAAGCTGAAGAGGCATTTAAAAGTCTTTCATTAATGTTGTTATATTTCATTTGCATACTTTAATATTTCTCTATACCCTTACTTAGAATCGTGCGCATTCAGCGTTTCACACTTCTTATCGCCAGCCACCAAGTTCACAGCTCACTGGCCCGCTAATTTTGAGGTAGCACACCAGTGAAAAATGTGAGGGCATGTGAATTCCCATAGAGTTATCAAACAGTAGAATTTCAAGGATGGCTGTTGCATCCGAAGAATGTTATTGGCCGATTTTAAGTTTTTTTGTGCTAGTTTTATGCATTTTTTATTATCATTCCTCTTATTTTAGCCTGTTTTACCTCCTAATTTCCCTAATATACTTCATGCTATCCCCTACTAACAGGACTATCAAATCAAGTTCATTGATAGAGAAATAGTACTCGATCTCCTGAATGATTCATTCACAGGAGAAACAACATCCAGAATCGATGAAATCATTGTATTTCCTAAAGAAAAACATCAATTTTTCAACGGCCTTTGGGAGGGTGCGTCTCTATTACCCTAATATTTCCTCTAAACAAACATCCAATACCATCAGCACTTTCAGAAAATACTTCTTACACTACAGAAGCAAATGGCAATTTCCCCTTCTCTTTGTATTTTCATTCTCATTCCTGTGAACGTCAAAATCCCAAGGCAATTTTGTATCAATAAATCATATGTTATGTATTCAAGGCAATAAAATTAAACAGTATTATGAATATCTGTATCTAATTTCATGTAAACTATTACTCTCATTTCTGGTGTCTATCATCTATCGACTCGGACGTCATAATCTACAGGTCTAACATCATAAACAACCTGTCTAGCATCATCATCTACCCATCTGATATTTTAACCAATCGGTCTGACGTCATTACTACTACACACTGCTACATCATAGAGTACAGGAAAAGCAGAAGGGATTACTGAAATGACAGTCCTGCTATATACCCACTGGCATTACTGTGAAGATGTTATTGCGCTATGATGTCAAACCAAATTTTATTGAGCGTAATATTTGATTAGATTGGAGAAATTGTTAAATTAATGAAACAATGGTATTTTATATTATTTGAAGATGAAGTATGGTAAAAAATCATAAAATTACGTGTAAATGAGCATCAAATAGATAATACCACATGTACTAGTTTCCTAATGCTGGGTTTGGAACTCCATCTTGCTCGTCCCGACAACTTGTCAGGACCAGCAGAACAATGAGGCCGCATTCAAAACCTCTTAGGCCCTCTCTACCTACAATGCAACCAGCTTGAAAGTAACCATTCATTATACTATTATACTGGTGTCTTTATTTCACACGCTACATAGGTTTTGATGCGCCAGCAACTGACAAACAAATATCCTTTGATATCACTAAAATGCAATAAATATAACTATCAATATCTCATGATTGCCAGCAACAGCTTCGTTTTCATACACAAATGCTATCGTGACATCTCATCCTGCTCGCCCTGGTGGGAAGGAGGATGTGATGGTCAACTTGTCAAGGACAAGAAAGCAGAGGTTCCAAACGGTCATCTTGTCCTAGCATCAGCTGATAAGCAAGAGGCCATGTTTTGGCCTCGGCTTTATCATTATGGCATAAAGCTGTGCTCAGAACTCCTCGTTCTGCTCATCCAGACAAGTTGGACAAGAGGTTTTGACCGCCTGGAACCTGCACTTTCTCATCCTTGACTTGTTGTCCATTTCACCATCCTGGAAAGCTGGGCGAGCAGGAGGAGATGACATTACAATAGCATTTGTATGTAAAAAATGACTACTGCAGGTAACCACAAGATATTGATGGGTTACTTTATGGCCTTTTATTGATGTTATCAAAGGATATTTTTGTTTGTCAGTTGCAGATAAATTAAACATGCATTATGGTAATTACCTAGACAGCATATGAAAAAAAAACCAGTGTGCTAAAAGAATGAATGTTTACTTTCAAGCTGGATGCATTTTGGGCAGCAAAGGCCTAATTATGCTGCATTTGTAACTCCTCGCCTTGCTCATGCAGACGGCTTCTCAAGAACGATCAGGACAATGAGGCCGCATTCAGAATCTCGAAAACCCTTGCTAACCGAAATGCAACCAGCTCAAAAGTAAACATTCACTCTTATGTTGCCTTCGGGACTGCTCCTTCAGACCAGTTGGTCAAGATGTCTTGACCGTTCGGAACCTCTACTCTCATCCTGGACAAGTTGTTCATCTCGCCCTCCTGTGAAGCTGGGTGAGCAGGACAAGATGACATCACAATAGCTTTTGTATGTAAACATTGACAGTTGCAAGCAAACACAAGATATTAATGGGTAATTTTATGGCCCTTTCTTGAGGTTATCAAATAATATTTTTGCGTTTGTAAATTACAGGTAAGTTAAATATGCATCAATGCAGTTACAAAACCTATGCTGCATGTAAAATGAAGACACCAGTATGATAAAAAAAAAAAAAAGTGAACATTCAAGCCAGCTGCATTCTGAGCAGCAAGGGTCTTGCAGGTTCCGAACGCGGCCCCCCTTGTCCTGCTGGTCCTGGATGAGTTGTCTGGATGAGCAAGACGAGGAGTTACAAACGCAGTCTTAGCATGTGTCCTTATTTTCAATGCTGCATAGGTTTTGTAACACCTTTGATGCAAATCTAACTAACCTGCAACTGACAAACAAAAATATCCTTGGATAACACCAATAAGGGGCCATAAAATTACCCATCAACATCTTGTGGTTGCCTGTAACTTTCACTGTTTACATACAAATGCTATTGTGACGTCATCTCATCCCGCTCGCCTTCCTGAGGACGACGACGACGAGATAGACATCTTGTCCAGGACGAGAACGTACAGGTTCCGGTCAAAACCTCCTGCCGAACGTGTCTGGACGAGCAGGACGAGATCCGAACGCAGCTTGGGGTCATTCCGAGCTTTTAACTTGACTCCATAAATCTGCATGGTCTTTCACCTCAGTGGCGTTTCACGATCGTTTACTGAAATTCCACATCCTTCAGATTAACAAAAATGCAAACGAGGGAAACTGCAAAGAGGTGAAGCCCAATTTCCTATTTGCGATTTGTGCGCCACACGCTTCCTGGTAGGCCGGCAGCGCGACCCTATTTCCGGATTTTACACTTTATTTCTACGTCTTTGTTGATCAATTGGGTGGTTATCTGTCAGTGGCGCTTAAATATATCCTCTGCGTTATTACCGAAACTGTAACTTAAGAACAAACAAAGTTAATTTCACCACACGATATACCGTTGTATTTTCACGTTTCACCACGACAAAAATGGCGTCTGATCGATAATCATCTCATTTCTCCTGTTTTCACCACGAAACTGGACCGATTTTGGATAGTTCTCGCCCACAACTTACACTGCATTATAACCGAAAGAATAACTACGAATCCAATCCTTAATTACCTGATTTGTTCGGAAAGTAACGAGTAAACACAAGCTCGTCGATATGGCGTCCTCAGTCCAAGCCGCAGCGTGTAGTGCGATGAGGCGACGGAGTACCAAGCTTTGCACCGCGAATTGTCGTACTCTTGATTATCGTACGTCTGTCGGACCAGGATTTTTTGTGACTGATATGTTGTTGCTTTTTTATACTCAATTTTATACATGTACATCTGGTTACATTTTATTTTATAGTTCATACGAATTAGTTACAGTCTTCGTGAAACAAATCAAAACCCAGAAATTGTACGATTGTTCGCCTGTCGTACGTGTGTTTTTTCTTATTTTGTAAGTCTTATGATCTATCTGTTTATCTTTTTGTTGAAAAAATATTGAATAAACTGAATTTGTAAAAAAAAGGAGAATTTGCTCAAATTATCCTACACCAAAGGCAATACGTTATCGTATGCCAAATTATCATGTACCATGTTGTTATACACATTTTTTATCCGTTGTTATTATAATTTATTATCTTTA